AGTAGTAGATGGAAAGTGTCAGACAACAGTGGGACCATTTATGCCAAAACAAGATAACTATGCATGTTTTAAGTTCTCTACTGATAATGAAAAGTACAAGGTGGGAGAGATCGATCCAACTTGGTGTGCCGTCACACTTCAGGGACGAACCACCAACAATGTAAGCGGCCCTAGCACGGTAATTGGAACCTGGGCAGGAAGTGGGCTCTATTATTATTGTGGGGAAAATACTCTGTTGGTTCATGTTCCTATAGGAAGCGTAGGGACATGTGCGATGGTGCGATTAGGAGCTCCACTCATGCTGATTGGGAATCAGGTAAAGGCTATTCCACAACGCAACACACGTACTCTAGCCGCCAGACGTCTGAGACATGTTTTGGTCAAAAGAGGGACCCAAGGTACACATGCTTATGATCCTCGCCTGAACTCGCCTAGGGGAGTTCCAGACGAATATAAGCTGGTGAATCCGATAGCTGCAGGATTTGAGAGTATATTCCTTTGGGTAACACCTAATAAGAATGTTGACCGCATTAACTATGTTCATTACAATCTGCTGAGACTTTCTAACCTAACCAGGGACGCCATGATGGGGTTCGCAGAACAATTGGGTCCAAGTTCTCTGATGGGAGTTCAAAATAGGATGGCGCTTGACATGTTATTGGCAGAGAGGGGAGGTGTGTGCTCGATGTTTGGAGATATGTGCTGCACGTATATCCCCAATAATACTGCCCAGGTGGCTCAGTAACCGAGCTCTGCAGGGCCTGAAAACTTTGTCTAAAACCATGCATGAGCACTCAGGGGCCTGTTCTTCGTACCGCGCTAAGTGAGTTAGCTGGATGAGATTGTTGACGATTTCGCGTGATCCTGGATCGTTCGGTTCCCCGAAGCCCATCCGGGACTTGCTGTCATAGCAACAGAGCCGTAAGCGTAAACCTGCTGGGGAGCAGGTTTACTTTATGTAAACAGGATTAGATCGCGGCCACGCAGGTATGTCCGCGTCATTCATACGAAAGCAACAGCGATAATCCACCACTGTTTCACCATAAATAAATAACATCAATGTAACTAAAGATAATGCAGCACTTGATCCTTTTATTGATTTCACACAGATACATACAGGTCATTCCCTAAAAAGGGAAATGTACTATTAACATTCTATTACATGTATGTGATTATTACAGATGTAATTCATATTTCAGAGTAGCAATTGTAAATTACTTCGTGTAATCAAGATGAGAGACCACGGCTATAAAGCGAAGGTGGATTTGGGAAGTCTGTCGCAGTCATATCCTGTCCATTTACGCGAGCAACCCATTGCGGAAGGTGCAAGATTGATAAGGAGAGTCCTCAGAATTCAGCGTATATTGCGGGACAGACAGGATCCTTTAGCTCAGCGCGACAGTGTGCTCATAGAGAGATATCGATTTTCCCGTGAGTAAAGTCAGATGAGGACAGCGACCTTTTGTTGGCCTGGACAGACAATCTCACAAACTGCACACTCGGACACACAATTGTTTAGACCAGATGTTTTCCCTCATCCATATCTGGGAACATAAAGCCTGAGAAAGTGTTAGGTTTCTGAGAAGCTGAGTTCTAGGAAATGTTCTGACGTCATATTAGGCTATAAAGCTTTCTGTAACGAGCAGAGAAGATCGAAGACCGGCTTCCCACACTGTATAACTGTGTGTGTTTAATAAATCACTTTTGGACACTTCTGGGGACTCTGTCTGTGCTTATTTTTCCTTCCAAATAAAAAGAACCTTTACAAAAGAACTGTGCATTTCGTGTTGTTAAGACTGTTTCATCTGGGACCATTTTGCAATCTAACGCAAGCTTAATTAAGGATTCTGTTTGTTTTATTCCTTCTAAGCTCAAATGAATTTCTTGTGAATCTGTCTACTGTGAGCCTGGTGATTTTGTTACTGATGCCTGACTGCCAACTGTATAAAACAAAAAACTACACACAATATTCGAAGCACATAGCGCACAGTCGTAAATTCACCCTAATTTTGGTATGATCTGAGCTCAGGCACTGGGTGACTGAGCATAGCACTTACGCATGTGAGCGAGGGGGGAGAAACTGCTGCAGGAGAAGCGTAGACAGGCAGACAGAGGAGAGCTTAAGTTTGACCAGGTACCAAAGCAAATCATTCATACTGTACAAATAATGTAAATATGACGGTGTATCACAAAAGACTGATATCAAACTGATCACTTGACCCATATTACGTTACTTGCTCTTGGAGTGAATCAACAAATGGGGAAATGAAAATCCGAACAACAACAATGATGTTTTTTAGAGAGTCTTAGCTTACATGTGTGTTTATTTCATATTTTCAGTTGTTTCCCTCCACGGCTAAACAAAGCACTGTAATCGGTTTCAGTTATGTACTGATGAACACAACAATTGACATAAGTGGCTTCTTTCAAAGAAAAAACTCAGGTAGATTTTATTTTATATATTATGCTTTGTATGTTGTTCAGTATATTTCTATGCAAAACAAGAGGAATTTCAATACACAGCAGTATATTCACAGCTGAAACCAGATATTTACATACACTTTAGGGAAAAACATAAAAACATTTTTTTTTTCTGTTAAACATCAATTTAGAGTGAACTTGCAACTAGAAGATCACTGGCTGCTCTCTGCCCAGCATGGAGGTCACTGCAAACTCTCGGTACCTCAGCAGAGCTGGCAATATCATCAAGGACTACTCTCACCCCAGCAACCAACTGTTTGAACTATTACCGTCAGGCCGACGGTACAGGTCACATAAAACCAGGACAAACAGATTCAGGGATAGCTTCTTTCCCAGAGCTATCACCGTAGTAAATAAGAACAAAAACAATTGAACCTATTCCATACCGTCACTGTCATTATATTATGCTGCTATTCATACTGTCATTATATTAATGCTGCTATCCTGTATATATTGTACAAACTATTGTTTGAGTACTTACGATTGTTTTTTTGTACTTTTTATATTTTACATTTATATTTATTATTGAAACTTGCACCAAGGGAGTGGCACTCCAATTTCGTTGTACTCTGTACAATGACAATAAAGGCTATTCTAACTTGTTTTGTTTTAGATAAATAAATATTGAAATATCTTTTGAATTAGTTAAATGTCAGAATATAGAGAGAGAGAGAGCTGTCTATTATTTATCACTTTCATCAAATTTAGGAGTACATATACACTAAGTTTATTGTTAATTAAGAAGAAAACTGCAGATGATTGCATTCTGATCTTAAGCAGCCTCTGATAGGTTAGTAGAGTCGGATTTTTTAGTAGAGTCCTCTGTCCTCTGCTGGATGTGTTGGAGAACACTTTCAGCCCTCTGAGGACTGCATACCACTGCCTGAGCCAAGCCAATGTGCCACTAAGCTCCAGCCAGTGTCCACACTGCCAGAGGTCTCCACACATGCTGGTTTGGTGTCTGTCTCCGCTGAAGGGTCAGAGGAACCCGTTTGAGCTGTCTGTCTCGGCTGGAGGGCCCAAGGGGCCCATTCAGCCACCTGTCTATGCTGAAGGGTCAGAGACCTGTTCGGCCTCCTGTCTCCTTTATAGTCGAAAAAGATGTGCTCCTGGTGCACTGGCCATTGCTGCTACTCAAATCGAGCGTGGACCTGGACCTCCAGCAGGCCCCGGGGACCTACGTCACACCTTGCTCTTGTCTCCCTTACAGCTGAAAAAGGTCCATGCTTGTGCCCTGGCCCTTCTGAAATTCCCTCTCCATTTAGCCGAGGCAGTGAGTCGGCCTCCTGTCTCCCTTACGGTCGAAAAAGATGTGCTCCTGGGCGCACTGGCCCTGCTGCTACTCACATCGGCATGGCCCTTGCCCTCCAGCAGGCCCCGGGACCCACATCCTCCCCTGCTCTACTCCCCCACTAGCTTCTTCTCCTGCAGTTACCCTCCACCACATATCCAGCACATATCTAGCTAACCCTAACCCACTACAATTCGTCCTGATTGTAGCACAAGTGGAACCAATAAGCAGGATTCATTGGCAAGCAGACAACCAGTTCCAACTACTGGGAAGAACCAGTGCGATGCATTTTGTGGTACGCGTCGTGGTAGCTCCTGCTAGGATTTAGGACAGACCTGAGGCTGATGAGAAGGATCTGGGTGTTGCAGGGCCGTCCTGGCTGACACGGCGCTGCGTGAAGCTCTGGGATGCTGCCTCTGGACTGGCACACTGGGGTGGTGGTTCCCTGTTTAAAGACCTAGACCTGAGCGTGTGCTCCAACTGTCACACTCCTCAGCCTCCTCTATGCCAGGGTGTGTCTGTCAGTCAGGCCTCTGATTCAGGAGGAAGCAGTTTGTGTCCTCATGATCACTGGAGCAGCTTGTTATCCTCTCGACTGCAGGGTCTGTGGGAGTTTGCACAACCAGTCTACATGTGGTTTGTGAGGCTTCTACTTTTGTAGGATCTTCATCTTACAGTACAAAGAGCCTTTGCTGCAGCTGTTGTTGTGTTTTGGCGCCTCATGGATAACTTTTCATGTCATTTGAGTTTCAGGCTTGTTGGTGTTGCTGAGCTGTGTGCATCGTCTGCGTGGGTTTGTCAGCATAATGGGGCTCATATTAAAATGACTTTACAGTCACAGAGAAAAACTTTAAAACACAAAATCAACACTTTGAACCATCGTGGAAACTACGTGTCCTTACTTGTCATCAAATGATGAGTGTGCGTCCTCACCAGGTGTCACAATCATGTGTATCAAAACGTGTGTAACTGTTAAACAGCAAAATGTGTTAAAGCTGAAAGTCTGACTGTTCAAAGGTGAAACTACAAACACTTGTACATATACAGCTCCCTCCATAATGGCCTGAGGAAAACCAAAGGCCTGATGTGATTTCATGTTTTCTTTGTTTCACAGTTTAAAAGTTTGTGGTTCTGTTCTCAGACCTTTGTCACTCACATGTTGTGCATCAGCTGTTTATGTCACTGTGCAGCCAAACTAACTCCCCTCATGTGTTTCCTTTGCAGCTGCTCCTCTGGATAGCATTGAGTCCCTGGCTGCCTACTACGTGAGCTGCGTCAGGCAGGTGCAGCCGGACGGCCCGTACAGAGTCGCTGGATATTCTTCTGGTGCCTGTGTAGCATTTGAAATGTGCTCTCAGCTGCAGACCCAGAATCAGCCTGTGGAGTTCCTGTTTCTCTTTGATGGCTCACATTCATATGTGGCAGCGTACACACAGGTCAGAGAAACACTCGCGCATCTTTATTTCATGTATATGCTGTATAGCGTGTGTGATGTTGGTTTTGAAGGATGAGCTCTGGTCACATGATCTGCATGTGAACAGGTTTAACTGTGTTTTTGATTTGCAGAGCTACAGAGCCAAGCTAACACCCGGCAACGAGTCTGAGGCTGAGACTGAAGCCTTGTGTGCCTTCATCCAGCAGTTCACTGGCATTGAATACAACAAGGTATACTGTCTCTGACCCACAGGTTCACACACAAGTATTCCTTTATGTGGCATCAGCGTTAAAGGCCACACAACCTGAGCTTTTGCCTCACGGCGCCTGTAAGGTAAAGATGGTGACTGTAACACAGTCTGGAGCTGCTGTTCCAGCACAGTCTGTGTGTGGTGCAGGTTTGACTCAACAATGATGTGATGTTTGGAGCTGTTATGGAGACTAAAGTAAAACATGCGGTTAAATCAAACCTTCGTACAGTTTCTCACTGAAAGCTGACATTTGTAACTCCTGAATATCAAAACATCTTCATTTTGCATTTTCATATACATAAGATCTGTGATGTTCATTAATTATGTGTCACTTACTTTTCTGAAAACAACAATATCTCCGCGAGCACGCGGTAACGTTTGCTATGAACTTACAGTCGTCTCCATGGTTACATCCTACAGCTTTTGGAGACTCTGCTTCCGCTGTCAGACCTGAATGCACGCGTCAGTGTGGCCGTGGACCTAATCACCTCCGCTCACAAGGACATCGACCGAGACTCACTGCACTTTGCAGCCTCCGCCTTCTACTACAAGCTAAAGGCTGCTGATGCATATGTACCTACTGCAAAATACCACGGCAGCGTGAAGCTGCTGCGCGCCGAAACCAGCAGCGAATATGAGCAAAACCTGGGAGCTGACTATAAGCTCATCGAGGTACCGATGCACATTTACATCAGTCTGTAGTACTTATCTTCACTGTGCGTGTGTGCGCTTGTGTGTGTTTCTATAAACTCTGTCTGAGCCTTCCAATGTCCAAACTGTGTACTGCGTCTTTCTTCAGGTCTGTGATGGCGAGGTGTCGGTCCACGTCATCAAGGGAGATCACCACACTTTCCTAGAAGGCGCGGGGGCGGAGTCTATCAAGAACATCATTCATAACTCGCTGGCTGAGCGAGCTGTCAAACCAAGGGAGGGTTAAACATCCACCGTCTCTTCACCCTAATTCCTCAGCTTTCCCCAAACTAGACTGTAAATGTGTCGTTATAGGAAGTGTTTGCACTGCTTATGTTTACACGCTACTGTTATCCTAATATCCCAAATGTTAATGGTTAGTGAACCAGTCGACATCCCATCATCTCACAGCTCCATCGATTCCAACTGCAAGTTTTGTTTTTGTTGCCATATGTTGTTGTTTGCAGAAGTTCATCCCACAACAAATAACGTGGTTAAAAAATTAATGTAACAAAGTAACAAACACTGACACATTGATTGAATCCTGAATTACATAACATCACTCAAATTGGTGTTTCTGCTCATGCAGACATCAGTAGACAGGCAAACGCGCTGCGACCAGCCTGATGAGCGACTGTGGAGGGAGGGCTGACCCTGCAGCCGTGTTTCTGCACACTAACTACTCGTAACACAAGTTGGAGGCATTTCTTTATTTTGTGATATTTGTTTACTTTTCAGTCATGTGACCACACAGTCATCAGTTACAGTGGCAACCAGCAAATGTTTACGTTGTCAATAAGTTAACAACAAATTAAGTGTTTCATAAACTGTGTTTTAACAATGACACTCGTGTTACTGTAATTTACAGACCAGTTATTTCACTAATTCAGAAGAAAAACTGCTTCTCTTCATGATGGACTGTGTCAAACACACGCTGTTGTTCTGACAGACGCCTGTGACAGAGGCGTCGCTAAGGACCAAATGTGTCTCTTCAGAGGTTAATCAGAGATGTGAATGATCACTGTAACAGTGAGATCATATTTACTGATGTAACCTCTGAGAAACTGTTTCCTTTTAAAGGCTTTGGTCCAGAGATCTAAAACCTCAGCAAATAATCCAAACCTGAGTACAACAGCTGGCCTGAGACCTGTGATTGGGTCAGTGAAGGAAGCTGCTGATTGGAGATGAATGTGCTGAGGAGTCACAGTACGATGGACGTGCCAATAAAGGCCTCTGTGTTTTATTGTAACATTTCTGTTATGTTTTGTAGGACTAATAAGGGCCTCAACAGTCGCTCAGTGTTTTCCTTCATTGTAACGAGCCTGTCCCGTTGGATCTATGATTCCTGTGCTTTTGTTGTCGTTACTATTTCTGATCATTTATCTTGTAAATATAGTTTTTGGGTTTTGTTTTTTAGAGGATGGGTCAGTTTATCAGGGACTGAAACACAAATCCTGTTGGCCCAGAAATTCTTAGTCGCTGTTGGCGCCACCCGACCGTTTAGTTCAGACCATTAAAGTAACGACTGGTTCTATATGACACTTTTCTACATGCAACAAAGGTGGTGATGGAAGGAGGAGAACAAACTTTTTTGTCTGTATTTAATAGCACAATGAAGACCAGACAGCAAAGCAGGGAGGGAGAAATAAAGGGCCTCAGGTCAGAGTTGAACCCGGCCGCAGCATTTACCCCATGACCAGGTGACGTGGTCACCGCCCGACCTTACGCACAGCAGTATTTCACTTCAGCTACCAGGAGTATGTGGGTCGAGCATGCAGACTGAACTTTAGCTGCATGTTAGAAAGCCGAGTTTATGAATGAAGGCTAGAACAAATGTCCCGGCTGAAGGAGGAGGGGCTGCAGAGGTGTATAAACACAGGTGGGCGGGGCAGGGCTAGTGTGCAGGATGACTCAGTGACCTACACTGACCTGTGTTGGTGAACATTTTGTTAAAGTTAAATGTTTTCAAGCTGACAAGTAAATTATCCAGCGAGCTAAGTTGAGCTGACCGACGTGCAGTAAGGTTTTCATGCTCTTCACTAACAGCTGATCGCTGAGAATATATCAACAGTAATAATGTCCTGTAATTCCCACGGCTCTGTATGTCACACCTGCGTATGCTTCCCCATCACATTCATCACCTGTTCCTCTGGTGTCTCTGATTGGAGCACGCAGGTGTGTGGAGCAGAGTGAAATCACACACCTAATGCTGTTTTATTCAACCTGGATCTTGGAAGTTTTGATTAACATCAGTGTCAAACATGAACTAACTCTTTGTCCCCTTCAACATTACATGTTGGTTTTTGAAGTAACAGGTTCAGTGATCTTAAAAGGCTGCGGTAACGTGTCGCTGATAAAACACTGAGTCATTTTCAAATTATTCACTTTAGTTCAATTCAGCTTTATTGTTTTATGTGAAAGTCTCCATCCTGTGTCCTTCACTTATCTTTATCCCAGGTGTGAATTGTTCACAGGACTTAAAAGAAGGACGCGTCTGTGGAAAAGGCTCCGGCCAACCTAAACTCCTCCCTCATCAGGACACAGAAGAGCCGCTGAGGCAGCGCCTTGGAGTACGCTGCTGGTCGCGGCACACAGGTGCGCAACAAGATCTCCCGGCCTGCTGGAGGAGGGAAGTCTGGTACTCTGCTGCTTCCCCAGTTTGCTTCTTGTCAGATCCCAAGTCCTCATCGACGGGCGCCAGAAGGGCAGCCTAAAAGGGCAAAGGTCAAATGTTAGCAAACAGCAACCGATTCTGAAGAAATGTGCTGTGTGATATTCAGAAGTACTGTAACCCGAGTCTCCCACAGAGACCTGATCCAGACTACAGCTCACAAACACAGCTCCTCTACTAACACCTCACTGCAGCTGCACGCTGCTGATCCTGTCTGTGACTAGAAATGATTTCAATAAAGTAAAACAGAGGCTCGTTTTCTATGAGCGTAAACAGGGATCTCTTTTTCAGTCTCAGTGTAACAAACGTGTTTACTGAATAAGTCTTTCAGTAAAAATGTTTTTGTTAATTCAGTAAAATCTGCAAAGATGACTTGTACTGTTGGCAGCAACAAACAGAGACAACAGAGTGTGGGACAGACAGGAAGTCAGGACACGTCTATGTGCTTCACAGTGGGACTAGAACATGAACATTTCTACACACACCACAGGCAGCAACTGTGCAAACCTCCACGTCACCAAAAACACCCTGCAGGTCCCATCAGAGCAACGGCAGAGAAAACAGATGAAAGGTCTGTTAGAGAGAAAAACGCTTCGCTGCTTTCTTACCGTATGACACCAAAAGGGTTTTGTTTTTTTAATAATAAAGGCTTCATGTTTTACAGTTAAAGGTAAAGCTCATGCAAACATGCAGGCTTATTTGTCTGATCAATGCAAAAGTTCAAACATGTCTCTTTCAAGCCTCATTATCAGCTGAGATCATAGTAAAGACACAGACAGGATCCTGATCCATCTGTTCTTTATATAATTACTGTTTTTACTGTAATGTAGAATATCATGGACATATACACAGACTGCAGCCTAAATACTGCTAAAAACAGCTCTTTTTATTTTTAAGGTTTCACGTATTAACCTTTTATTATAAAAGTCACCTGATCCTTAGCAGGTGTGTATACAGAAATACACCAGGTCATTATTTAAGCAAAGCGAAGCCAAACTGCTCCTGTGTGACAGATGAAGTCCACCTTTAAACAGCATTTAGATGCTGCTAATGAAACTCGATTAGTGGCAGCACTGGTCTGTGGGCTGGGGACACTGGTGCCACCAGTACAGCGCGCACTTTTCACAGCGCCACCATGTGGACCAAACTGTATTCTGGGTCAAACCTGATGTTTTATCATTTACACTGAACAAAATATAAACGCAACACTTTTGCTTTTGCTCCTGTTTTCCATGAGCTGAACTCAGAGATATGAAACATTTTCTACAAACACAAAAGACCCGACACTCGCAAGCAATGTTCCTCTAAGCTGCGCGCGTACACAATTGCGCACTGCTGGCACGGTCTCTGCACAGAAATCTGCGTTGCGCGCACAAAAAAAAAAAAAAAATTCACCTGAATTGAAATTAAAATGAAAACTTTAACATCCTGTTTTGCAGTGTTAGTCAGTGACTGGCTGCTCCCGTATAGGATTAGAACGAGGCCACCTTATCCGTAGTCCAGCCAATCACGCGATTCACATTCGTATATACGCAGCTAATCAACGTCGCTGTCAGGCTCTGACGCGTCCTTATGCGCCGACACCGGTGTTTTAGCAAAGCGGCTGATGTGGAGTGAAGCCACGTTAATGACAACGTGTACAACCATTGGAGATGTGAGCAGGACCGACGGAACAACTGACGGGAAAAGTGTGGACTTTATACCAGTTTTTAAATTGTGTTGATCGGCCGCGTACAACCAGAGTTATGATAAAAATATCTGCAATGTTTGGTTTCTTCCTGAATACTGTCGTTGTTTATATTTACTGCGGGAAGAAACGGTGAAAACGCCGTTTTATAAGGAAAACGCTCGAAAGCCTGTGAGCAAAGAACTAACCTCCCGCCCCTCCACCCTTTCCTATTGGTGGAAAAAATGTACCATGTGGACCAATCAAAAATTATATGGCAAGGGTTAGAAACGGGAGGAAGTTTTAGGAGTGACGGCGGTGCTTGGAGATGTGAGAGATTTGCGACGTTTAGCGCAAATCTTATGTAGTGAGTGTGTAGTGTAGTCAGCAGTTTTGTTGTGTGTGTCAGAACAATGAGGCGACTGCTGAATGTTACAGGTGTTACAGCAGTGATACATCTGCTGTTGTCCTGCAGGTATCAGGCTGTTGTTCTCCTTCATCTCATAGTGGACACAAATTATTTTTTGGAGTGGCACAAATAATTTGTGTGGCATCGATTTGATGCAGAACAGCTGATTGTTCTGTAAATAGTTTGAAATGTTTAATTAAAAACGCCTTGGCTACATTTTTAGGTAAACAGCTGCAAAAAACTTTGTTTGCATAACTCGGTTACTTTTTTGAAGAAGTAACTATATAATTAATTGCCCAACATTGGTCATTATATCCTGTATTTTGCAGACAGAGTTACAGACTCTCTCCCAGACCACAGACTCATAATACAAGTCAGAGCTTTATTAAAAAAAAAAGAAAGAAAGAAAGTTGTGTTTTCAAATTAGAGTTATTTTTACTTCCAATAGTGTTAACATACTGCACAGGTCAGGAACAAGATTTTTTGTTACATTTTCATTGTAAGTGGGCTGAAGCAGTTAATTAAAAGTAGTCTAACATGCCACACCTGTGAGGTGTGGCATGTCAAGGTGCTGATTAGACAGCATGAATATTGCACAGGTGTGTCTGAGACTGCCCACAATAAAAGGCCACTCTGAAATATG